CAGGCCTCTAGTGTTATCATAAGAAACATTTGAACCTTTGAAGAATTTGTGTGAGTTTATTTGAGCCAAACTGTTGACAGTTGCTGGGAAACAGAATCTTAAGGAATTGAGATAAGGCTCCTGGGGATGACAGTTTTGCACCTTGTTTTATACCAGTGGTTCTCAACCTTCCTAATGCTGCGGCCCTTTAATACAGTTCCTCATGTTGTGGTGAACCCCAACCATAAAATTATTTTCATTGCTACTTCATAACTGTATTTTTGCAACTGTTATGAATTGTAATGTAAATATCTGATATGCAGGATGTATTTTCATTGTTACAAATTGAACATAATTATAGCATTTTGATTAATCACAAAAACAATATGTAATTATATATGTGTTTTTCGATGGTCTTTGGCGTCCCCTGTGAAAGGGTGGTTCGACCCCCAAAGGGATCGCGTCCCACAGGTTGAGAACCGCTGTTTTATACATTACCATCAATAGAAGAGATGGAAGCGGGTTACATGAAATCCATTGGTGATAAATTAGGGAGGTGGGGAAAAAACAAAGGGGGTGAAAACCTCAGCCTGGATAAAAAGTAAAATGATAGGCACATACTTCTTTTACATAGGTGGGTACAGGATAGTTAAGAGTCAACACTTAACACAATAACAATAACAGATAACAATAACAATGAGAGAATTTATGGTTTCTGCCCCACTGCATTGGTTGTGCTTTGAAGGGTCCAGAAAAAGAGAAGTTACCTTGACACTCCAAAGGTATGTTATAGTAGATGCAAAAAGGACAATAGGCTCAGTTAAGGTCAAGGTTGATCTTTGTCAGGGAAGGTACCAGCCTAGAATATGACTACCTACCATAGACTGCATTTTAATTAAGAAAGTTTTAATTTCAGACCATCCTTTGTGGTTACTTTATGTCTCTGAGTTTGCAAGGCCACTCCATAGCACCCCCTGAGCTTGTCAAGTTAGTATGTGGGCCCTTTTTGTCCACACTTAGAAGGTTGCTATAACCACATTATAAAGTTGTTTATAATGTGTATAAAGCATTTAAAGAGAGTGCCTGGAATGTAAATGTTCAGTAAGTGGTAGCTAGTTTACTAGCTATTAAATCTAAAGCGTGAAGTATAATAGAGTTAATAAATTCTGTAACAGTAAAAAATCAAAGTTTGTTTTAAATTTTTTAATCAAATAAATATTACTATAGTAGTTAGTTTAAAAGTTTTCTAGGATATCAGTGTATTTACTTTTGATGTCCCCTTTGGTTGCTATCTATATAAAAATAGATTTAAAGAACTTTAAAAAAAATCTATCTAAACAAGATAGATACATTTGTCAAGGGTTTCGGTTATATTTTATAGGTAAAATATTTAATAACCATAAAAAATTTACTCACTTTTAATTATGTTCAGAGCATCTCAAAATAATTATTTATTTAACCTATTAATTTTACCACAAAAAAAGCATTTATCCACACTTACGCTCATTCATACCTGAATTTTTTTTTTTTATTAAGGGATGAAACATGCTTAACAGGGTGTCTGTCCAAGTAGGACACTCTTTTTCAACTTATGCTCAAAATAGAACACAAGCTCAAAAAAGTTTTTCAATGAAACAAGTGAATGGACTAAAAATGTACATCTATACTCTGTTTACAGCCATGAGTTCAGCGTTTGCTTTAATTCAACATGTTAAAAACCATAAATATCAATGCATTTCTATTTATTTTCTAAATTCTCATTTCCTTTATTTTTCTAAATTCTCATTTCCTTTATTTTTCTCAGGACCATGACTATCAGGAAAAGCTTAAGATGTTAGAAACCTGAAAATGTTCCCAGTTTATCTATGATAGCAAATTCGTGATGGAACTTTTAACACTATGACAAAATGCATCAAATTGCTAAAGTACATTTTAAAACTGAATCAATTTCTCTATTATCTCTGGTAATACCATCAGCAATTCTACTGTTAAGTTATGTGCCTTTCTATGAAGAACAGAAGGTATTAACTCCAAATGCACTTAACATAATTTTCTTTCATTTTAAATGTACTCACAATAAACCCTTCATAGGAATAGAATTTGGAACTTTTTTTTTTGTCATGGTCATAACAGGAAAATGGGTTGTGTGTTTTTTTCTGTTCATCTAATAGTTTAGCCATTTTACTACCAAATCTTCTCAGTTCATCCCTGAAAACTCTGAAACATTTAAAAAAATATATTATCTTTGGATTTATAAAGAATATTAATTTTGTTTGGAACTTATGTATATGTTTTATACTTTGCTTTTAAGGACATATTTTACAGATGACTTAATAGAAATGTTAAATAACATGCAAGATCTAATAATGTAGGTGATTTGGTTGTTTATAGTGTGTATGGTATTGGAATAAAGAATTTTAACAGGATGGAGAGGGGGAACATTTTAACAATAGACAGAACAATGCAGGAGTATTAATTAGGACCTTTTCGTTTTTGAGAGCCAGAAATGATCTAAAGTTTGAAGGCAGGGAGAACATTTAGTATCAAAGATTGTTCATACAATAAAATTACGGACTTCGACTACACCAATATACTTTCCAGAACCTAAATTGCCTTAATTCTCTGGCAGACTCTTACAACATTTGAAGCAATTTTTATAAGCCTTTTTATGGAGCTAGAGTCAGGGAGTAGGAGGGTTCCCCAAAGGAATGCTGGATAGGAAAACATATTATATACAATATATCCATTACAGAGAAGACAACTTAATTTTTTTTGGCTAGCATCCCTTGTGATTTTCTTGTCATTTATGGCCCTAATAAAGTATGCATGTCGAAATTCATCACCCACTGAGTTCCCATTTAGAATCAGCTTCTCCAAATGGAAACTTGCATTGCACCATCCCTTCCTTCTCCCCTGCCTTCAGTGTTTTCTTCACATGCTCATTTGAGCCCCATATTTGTTGTTAAGACTCCCTATTTTTTGAGATAACCAGGGCAATGGTGTGATTAAGTCCCAATGAACTAGTAACATAAATCTTCATGATATCAAGGTGTTGGCTGTTTCTCTGATCATAGGTATTTATTTTCTTCTTTCTATCTTTATTCAATTATTTTTCATTTGATTTTTTTTAATACAACAATATTTTCCGAGGTTCCTCAACGCTATATGTATGAGATGCAAACATATAAGAAGTGACCAGGATCACACAAAGGAAACTTTTTAGCAAATAGTGTAACTCTTCTAGGTAACCCCAAACTCCTAAAGGACAGGCTTTGAGCAGGCAGTTTCTTGATTGCGTTCTTTTTCATTTTGGAGGTGTGGGCCCATGGTTTTAAAATCAAAACACTTGCAAACGTTAACATCCTGAGAGATTTTACTTAAAACCCTGGACGGTTAGCTTCTTTTGGCAAAGTGGTCTGATTAGAAACCCTAGAACCAAAGCCCTGCACTGGCCAGGCTGAGCTCTACTTGTCCCTGTAATATGCATGCTCTCCAGCGTGTCACAGCATCACTCGCTTCTCCATTGGCAATACCTTTGGCAATCAATCTACTCACTCGGGCATGGTCTTCTGTGGTTAGTGACTCAAGATTAGAAATGACCCTTGTAAAAGAGTAGCTAATCTATCCCTATCTGTTTATAGTTTCATCTATGTATGAAACCGGAGGTCAACTGAGTCCAGTGCTCGTGCCACTACCCCTCACTATCCAGCCAAAACACAGAGACAGGGGTAACACCAGTGGTTCTCAACCTTGGCTGCAACTCAAGTTATAGCAATCAGAAAGCCTCTAAGGCAGTGATTCTCAACCTTGGCTGCACATTAGAATCACCTCAGAATCTTTTTAACATCCTGATTTCTGGGCCTCGTCCTCCGGAAATTCTGTTTCTTTGTTATGGGGTGGGGCCAAAACATTAGTAACAAAGAAACAGGATTTTCAGAGGATGAGGCCCAGAAATCAGGATTTTAAAAAGGTTCCCAGGTGATTCTCATGTGCAGCGCAGGTTGAGAACCACTGGGTTAGATTATACATGTGCTTAGTATCAGATGCTGGAAATTTGGGAAGGTAACAGGTGAAAATCCTAACATCCGCCTTCCCTTTAAGCTTGTTAGGAATAAGCTTTTAAAGGGGAATCAGGGGAAGAGTGTCTGGGTAAGGGTACAGAGGGGGCTCTGAAATTTGAGTCCCTGTGTGGGTCCTGGGTCTTGATGACTGTCTTCATTACTGGTCCTCAGAACAGGATGGCCAGTGTCCTGAAACCGGTCAAGTGGAGATTGGGTGTGCATCATCCCAGGGTTTCTGAGACCTAATCCATCAGCCTCTGCATTCCTGGAGGTCAGGCATGTAAGTCTGGGGCTGGATTAAAAGTCTCTATTCTTGTCTGGCCAACTGAGAACTGCAACAAAATCTTAGCCAGAACATAAGGCTAAACACATACCGTTGATGAATCAATTACTTACACATCCTGTTAGTAAAGGGGAGGGAGATGAAGGAGAAAGGAAGAGGAGGGGGAAAAAAAAAGCAATCCTATTTTCTTCTACCCTTGTACCCCTATCATAGAACAGATGGACTATGGGTGATTGAATCATTTCTATAGGTTCAGCATTTTCCATGGGATTAGTATTCTTGCAAATGATATACTGTATTATATTGAAGTTTTATTAATTTTTTTCATTTCCTTTCTTCACTTACTTTAGCTCCTCAGAGAACAAAACATCTGCTCTCCCACCTACAGCCTTTTTTTGTATAGTCAGGAACACTTTGTCTATTTATACTTTTTGTTTTTATAGATTGTACAGAGTTGGAAACAAATCTAAATTTTTAGATACAGACTGTTTGTGTAGTATTTGTATAGCAAGATGGTCTAAAAACAGAACAAATGTAGCTTAGTTACCTAAGTTTGTAGCTTAAAGAAAATATTACACTGTGGGACTGGGAAGTTCTCCATGCTGTTGAGTAGCATTTTACAATCAACACCTCTCCCCTTTTCAGGATATCGAATCCCTAACAGGAGGTCTGACTGGTTCTAAGGGGGCTGATCCACCGGTAAGTTAGCTTCTTCATTAAATTTAACTATTAACGAATTGAATTATGTACACACCACATCATCAGATGGTTACTTGCATACAGTGGTTATAGAGGTAACTTTTTGAAATATAAAGTTATTGCAGTAACTAATACAAAAGTGTGAACTTGCCTTGTGGTGTCATTTGGTGTTTAAAAAAGTTTTAATAACTCATAAAATTCTTCTCCATGTATTGACTCTAAAAATAAGAATAAAGGCTTCATTAGAATATGTAAATGATTTTATGTCCTGCTAATGGATTATACCAAAAGTTAAAATCTTTTGGAACTTGAGAGTTTACCTTTTCAAATATGAGTGTATGATTTGGGTTGCAATATATTTTCTAATTATTTTTTCAGCCTATTTGATCAACAGTATTGATTCGTGATATTGCTGTTTCTTTTCTACTTTACCTAGGAAGCCTCTAGAAATTTAGAAAAAGTGTTCAAAAGTTTTAAAGAAATCATTTTGTTGTTTTTTGTTGTTGTTGTTTTTTTCCATTGAGAAAGAGAGTGGCAGGGAGGGAGGAATGGAGAGAGGGAGGGAGGGAGAGAGTGAGGTGAAAGGATGTGAGAGGAATGGGAATTGAACCTTTGATCCTTTGCTGTGCAGGCTGACCTTGTAACCACTGAGCGAAATGAGCCAGGGTGAGAGAATTATCATTTTTGCTCAATAGTCTAGTTTTGGAACATTTTGGTTCTTTCTGTGATGTCTGATTTCAGAAAACATTAGTTAATATAACATTCCTGTGATTTCATGTTTGAAGTATAAACATGAACTCATGCTGTATGTCTAAAGTACTAAGATTCAATTTATTCAGCAGTCAATGCAGTAACGTTATCACCATTTGTTTTTTTACTCAGCATTGTAAGACTTAATGTAGAACAAAGAGAAACCAAAGTTATCAGTTTTTAGCTGGACTGCATGTAGACATCCAGGTGAAGAATGTTATTACATTGAAACACCAGTGAACTGTTAAAAAGATCACTTGTAGTTGTAGCTTCTCTTCTGTCTCCCTCTCATGTGCCTCATGTTATCTAATCTTCATCAAATTGCAGGGATTTTAAAAAATGTATTGTCTTCAGATAGTAGCTTATATTTAGTTCCTGAACCAATTAGATTTCAGTATAAGACAAGGTGAAATGTAAGTCAGCCCAGGAAGTATATTGGGACAGGAGTTATGGCCATCCTTATGTGTAAGGAGTATAGGTCCCTGCTTATGTGATATAATGTCACCCTGCTGTCTGCATAGTGTTTGTACATAATCTAATGAACAAAATAAACTGATGAACAAAATCGATCCACAGACATAGATGCATGGACTAGACTGTGGAATCTCAGAAGGGGATGGGGGTGGGCTAGAAGGGATTAATGGAAGAAAAAGGGGGACGTATGTAATACTTTAAACAATAAAGATTTTAAAAAGTGAGATCACTTGGTTAAATGGGAGTTCCATTTTTAATTTTTTGAGGAAACTCCATATTGTTTTCCACAGTGGCTGTACCAGTCTGCATTCCCATCAGCAGTGCACTAGGGTTTCATTTTCTCCACCTCCTCACCAGCACTTGTCATTTGTTGATGATAGCCATTCTGACAGATGTGAGGTGATACCTCATTGTCCTTTTAATTTGCATCTCTCTGATCTGACTGAGCATTTTTTCATTTCTCTTGGTCTTCTGTATGTCCACTTTGGAGGAGTGTCTATTTATGTCCTTTGCCCATTTTTAAATTGGATTGTTTGTCTTCCCTTTGTTAAGTTGTATGAATTCCTTATATATTTTGGATATTAACCCTTTATCAGATGTATCATTGCCAAATATGTTCTACCATGCACTGGGCTCTCATTTCACAAACAAAGGGGACATCTGTAATACTTTCAACAATAGAGATAAATAAATTTAAAAAGTTAAAAAAAAAGAAAAGAAAAATAAATCCATTTCCTTCAATGTATCTTTCTCATCTGTTCATTGATTCTGGAAAGAAGTATACAATTAAGATCAATCAGTTTTAAAATGATTTGTCTCTTGTTCAAAACAAAACTAAACATCTATCTTCTGCAAATAGTGATAGAACTCTTATCCATTATTTACATGTTAAAATAATTTGCTTTATCATGTCCTGTTAAGAAAGCATCTTTCTGCCTGGCCAGTGTGGTTCAGTGGTTGAGCGTCAAACTAGGAACCAGGAGTCATGGTTTGATTTTTGGTCAGGGTACATGCTTGTGTTGCGGGCTTGATCCCAACTCGAGGGCATGTAGGAGTCAGCCAGTCAATGATTCTCTCTCATCATTGATGTTTCTCTTTCTCCCTCTCTCTTCCTCTCTGAAATCAATAAAAACATATTAACAAAAAAAAAACCCCAAAACCAAAAAACATCTTTCCAAGCATAAATGATTGAGTGAGCATAAAGCCTAATTATTGGAAGTTCCTTGCAGGGGAAAAGGTCACAGACAGGCAAGATGGTGTTCTGAACTCAAACTTAACCAACTTCATTCCCATTCACTAAATGTGACGTGCATGTGTGTATGTATATTTACACATATGTATGTTTTTTTCCTTTAGACATCATTTATAATAGTGTGAAGATAGTGGTTCTCTCTTTGCTATGTCCTGCTATGATAATGGGTATTTTATACTGCTGCCTACAATGACTGAAATTCAATGACTGTGCTTACTTTATAATGTTTGTAGAGTGGAGAACATAATGCATATTTCATAGTACATAAGAGTTTACACAATCTGGGGGTTGGGTAGTAAAAATACACATAACTTTAGTGTCTCCCATGGTTAAAGAACAAGCTGGGGTGTATTACTAGGAGCTATGTAATGAAATAATTTGTAGTCCTCCCTGAAGCTTATGGAAAGTAGTCTTAAGTAAGAAGTTGAAATGATGATAGTATTCTAGGAGTTACTTCAATCATTTAAAAATAAGGCTTTTAATGAAGCTATTATTTCTGCCCCCAAGTTACAAAACTGAAGTCAGGTTAAATTATACATAACCTAAATCTATTTGAAGTTTTATGTTTTTTTCTTTAAAAATTCCTTTGCAAGAGTCATTTAAATCTCTTATCCATTTCTATAATTGTGTCTTTTGTATAAATATTTACAGTGAATTTCTAAATCCTTTCTATGATGAAATTTTCATTGGTAAAAAAAATGAAGGTTCTCTGATATTCATTCCTTGAACAGAATATATCAAGTGCTGAAAGAATGCATAGCTGCGGATTTATTTCTTTACCGGTATAATGAAATCCCAGATACATATTTAAATGTTATATTTAAAAATTGCAAATTTTTCTGTGGATAGAAATAAATATTACTTTTGAAGCGTAAGAAAAAAGTGAATTTTTCACTTTTTAAAATACCAAGCGTGTTTAAAGTTGTGTCAAATTTTGCAAATGTTATAAATAATTTTGTGTAATAATAAGAATAAATTTGAGGAACTCCAGAAATATAGTTTGCATTAATTAAGGCTATGTAGGTATTTTAAAACTTGAATTAGTCTCAGTTTTAATGCTAATAATGAAAGAACCATCCATTCATGATTTTCAGGGGGGCAATTCAAGTTTTCTAATGGTTTTCTTTTTAAAAGGATTTTAAAAAGCATGTTTTTAAATTCAGACCCTGGAAATTAGTTGCTGCAGAAAAAAGAACTTGCAGATTTTTCTAAATCACATAGTAATTATAGAAAAAAATTCTATCCATAAGAAAAATACTAACTGTTAAATGTTAACTTAGAATTTTATATGAAATATTATATTAGATATTCTACATTTGACATGATTTTCATTTACAAAAATTGGATTACAGATTAACCTTCAGCATAAAAGCAGCATACATTTATATATAAAAATTAAGGAAAAGAGAATAGATAATTAAAATCTAAAGGGTAAAATATTATTCAATAGAACTTTTAAAGAAATTCCCATAGTGTTTTAAATTTTAAATATTAACAATATTAAAATGTGAAAAACTTGTGAACTATAAGTTATCAGGGGTGTTTCACATGATTGTCCTCCAGCCTTCAGGAAGCCAGGGCAAGGTCTAAGCCACTTAACTTCCTATGGCCAAGAGGATTCTGGATACTGAAGCACTGAGTACAAGATCTGAACATCATTCAACTGTACCTCCTGTACCTGGCATCTGGAGAGCTGTGGCTATGCAGTTCCATGTGGAACCAGTAGTGTGACAGATTGTTTTCCTGTCTGGGGCCACGGAGCCAGTGACAAAAAGGTGTTAGCCAGCCCCTGGACATGAGCAGGACTTTTCCCAGACTGTGGGCAAGATTGAAGGTGGGATTTAGTAGCTCAGCTTGTTCACCAATACAGTATTACGTTTATTCATGTAGACCCAAACAGACTAACACACACAATGAGAGGATTTTCTCTTTTATTTAATTTTATTCAATGTATTGGGGTGACATTGGTAAATAAGATTATATGTTTCAACTGCAGTTCTATAGTACATCATTTATATATATTGCAGTGTGTGTTCATGACCTAAATTCAATTCTCTTTTCATCACAATATATTTGACCCCCTTTACCCTCTACTGCCTTCCCCTCCACCCCATACTCCGGTAATCATCATACTGTTGTCTGTGTCTATGAGTTGTTTGTTTGTTCTTTTCTGTTTTATATTCTACATGAGTGAAATCATAAGGTTCTTGTCTTTTTCTGTCTGTCTTATTTCACTTAGCATGATATTCTCAAGATCCATTCACGTTGTCCCAAATGGGAGTGTTTCGTCTTTTCTTATAGCTAAGCAGAATTCCATAGTATATATGTACCACATCTTTATCCAATCATCCACCAAAGGATATTCAATGTCTTGGCCACCATGAATAATGCTTCAGTGAACATAGGGGGTACATATATTTTTACTCATAGATGTCTTCAGTTTTTAAGACAGGTACCCAGAAAAGGAATTGGTGCATCATATGGTTGCTCTATTTTTGATTTTTTGAGGAAATTCCATACTGTT